TTAATTGGTTTTATTTAGTGTCTTATTTGTTTGTTGTGGGAGCTGTTAAAATAGATAACCAGGGGCTAATAAATGTTAATGATCCCACTCTTAGAAAATCAATGGGTCATGATTACAGCACATCTCAGTGTATTGTTTTTGACTAAAATAATTTAATTCTTAAGAATATTTTGAGAAGAAACTATCCTTGCTCATCTTTGTTTTATCATTGCCAGAATTTTCATGTCAGTTTGATGAATGATTTCTGCTTAAGTGAACAATTCCTTTGAACGAAGAATAAAGCTGAAAAGCATATCCCTCTTGTCCCACAGTAATGACAGTAGTTATAGAGTAATTATTAGTGTGTGCCTTTGAGGTATAGGATTTCACATGCGCTCACATTGTATAGGAAATATGTGGTCCCAAACTCTGCATGCTTTGAGCTCTGTGTTAAACTGGGGTTCCCCCAATTCATTCAAGGCTTTGAAACATGCTCTACATGTGCAATGAAGAATCCCCATTGTGAGTCTGGTAGAATATCTTTGGTTCACAGGGCAATGCTTCGTCTGCAGCTGTATATGACAGGTTCCTAACATGCAGCTGCTTTGAATAGAGTGAAAGATCAATTGGAGAACACAGTGTTTTTATTTATTAGTGTATACACACACACACACTACTTATATTGTGCAACAATCCAGTCTTTTTTAAAAAAAAACATGCTATGGATGTACATTGCAGAGACGTATATAAGTTTAGCATATGCTCAGGTGGAGAACGGCAAAGCTCTCGGGATCTTCAGATCTCTCTAGATACTCCACAGTTATCAATACAGATCCAAGGTCTTACGAACTCTTATACCAGTGTAAATATACCAGTGCAAGCAGTAATTCACATGCGCAGGGGGAAGGCAAGTCAGCACAGGAGAACTAGAGGGGGAAACCTACGTTATAGGAAGATGAGAACTTTCACTCATTCGTTTTGAACTGTATAATCTACATCTTCAGATACTTAAGGCAGCTAAGTCATCAATACTAAAACAATGCAATAAAACCTTAATATCACACTACTGAACAAACTCAAAAATTGTCAGTGGCTTAATTGTCCCATTTTACCAGCCTTAATAATCTTACCAATCACCTTCACCATAGTCCTTTCAGGGATGTCACAGTGACCCTCATTTCACATGCAGATGGTGGTGGTTGGAGCTCACTAGGAATTTGAGCGGGGGGGTGGTGGTTAGACAAATTCAGGTAGAATAAGGCTATAAATGGTTACTAACCATGTTGTCTATGTTCTGCCTACACCGTAGGTTGCAGCATGCTTCTGAATACTAGTTATTGAAAACTGCAGGAGGGGAGAGAGTGGTTGCGCTTAGTTCCTTTCTTGTGTGCTTCCTGCAGACATCTTGTGGTAATAGGATGTTGGCCCAGATGGGCCCTGGGCCTCATCCAGCAAGCTCTTACGTTCTTATGAAAATTCGAGGTCCATGGCTAATGCCTGGGGCTTAATCAAGGCTCCATAAAGGGCTCCGTTGCAGTGGCATATTGCAGCTTTATAACTTTTTCTTTGAAACTTGTTCGGAAACACTCATCAAATATTTTATAATGTGAGTAATTAAAATAATATAATATTGAACTATTGACCAACGCTAGGCCATTAGTCAAGCTAAAAAATTCTACGATCATTGCTCTGAAGCACTGTGAAATAATAGTATTGGTGATCAGCGATGCAAGTAGTCACAATTAAGCAGTTCAGTTGACGAATGAGGGAGTACACTTTATTTTATGCTTAATTGAATTGCTGTACATGCTCGGTCACCATTGTCTCCTTTCCTTTAGAGCTTTGGATTCTAGCTATTTAGAGGCGCACATTTGTAAAAGGGAGAAAGCAATTAAGACTGTCGTATCGGCTCTAAAAATGCAGACAACGTGAGCTGTGCCTTGGGCTGCTCCTCGCTATTAAAATCATTAATATGCCTAAAGATACAATCTTAATTTTCTTAAAACACTAATAGGAAACTAAAAACGCATCTCCCTACATTAAAAATAGCCAGATGGGTGGAGAGGCTCAAGCGCCTTAGAATATTTGTAGTGCAATCCTGCTCATGTCTACTCATAAGTAAGTCCCATTGAGTTCAATAGGAGTTGCTTCCAGGAAAGCGGGTATAAAATTGCAGTCGTCTGCAAAGCTTAACACTGTATGCGGAAAATCTGAAACATACAAGGGTGGAAGTCTTATCATCATAAACCTCTAAGCATAAGTCTGTGATCGACAAGCATATGATGGGGTCAGGGCTAGGAGGTAACGTCTATTTCTTTCTTTTTTTGCATAATATCTGACAAGAGCTTTAGGCAGCAGCAGTAAATGTTCTGATTCTTTCCATAGTAGTTTAGCCCAATATATTTGGGTGTCCCAAACAGAGTCGCTGTCCTGCAACTGTAATCGCTGTGCTTACAGTAGGGGCCTGGTAGTGGGAACAGTGCTGCTCTTTGCATTAGCGTCCCATACTTAACAAATAGATAAAATAAGTAGAATATTTCTTTTCTTGAATACATTTTTATGCTTTTCCATTCTATCCCTTTTTCAAAATTTAATTAGCCTAGTGTCTTTTGTATTTTCCTCCCCTTCATTTTAATGCTCACACATTACATTTGTTGTTGGGGCTTGCAACATTATGAGCTGTTTCTAACAAACGGTAAAAGGTAAAGGTAAAGGGACCCCTGACCATTAGGTCCAGTCGTGACCGACTCTGGGGTTTGTGGCGCTCATCTTGCTTTATTGGCCAAGGGAGCCGGCGTACAGCTTCCGAGTCATGTGGCAAGCATGACTAAACCGCTTCTGGCGAACCAGAGCAGGCACGGAAATGCCGTTTACCTTCCTGCCGGAGCAGTACTTATTTATCTACTTGCACTTTGACTTGCTTTCGAACTGCTAGGTTGGCAGGAGCAGGGACCGAGCAACGGGAGCTCACCCCGTCGCGGGGATTCGAACTGCCAACCTTCTGATCGACAAGTCCTAGGCTCTGTGGTTTAACCCACAGCGCCTGCAAAATAGGGCGGGTGGTGGTGTAGGATCTTAGAATTAGACCACTTTAGGGATAGTGTCACTAATGGAAAGTAAGCAAGCTTAGTTAAGTATCTTATGTTTAAAATGATCTTCTTTGCAAAAAAAAAAAAAAAATCTATTACAAAGAGTTTGTCATTTTTGTCCTGGCTTTGCTATGTCACCAGTGTCTTTTTATGCAAACTAACAGAGTACTTGGGAAAGTTACAGGTAGAATTTGGTTTCCGTTGATATAAAAACTAGTCCCACTGAGAATACATCTCCGTGAGAACTGAGAGGATGAACATCACATTTCAGAAGTAGATATGATTAGGCCTTCTGCAAATAGCTGTGTTGTCTTCTTATATTTAATTATGACCTGGTTTGGACCAAATTTGGTTTGAGATATTAGTCTTGTGGTATTGGATTTTGCATGTGTACCCTTTATTTTAAATATTAACACCCACACATTGGGTGCCTTATAAGTAAATAACCTTCCTGTCCTGCCAATCATAGGACATATATTAGGGAGACTGTAGTCTGAAATGGACCACTGAAGACCTTGACTAGCCTCAGTTTATGCAAGACACTGTTGAACTGGTGGAAACATAGTATACAAATGATTATCCAATAATCACATGAAAGACAAAAGCTCGCTAGAAGGCCAAAGTTCACTAGACTTAATCTTGTATATCAAGCTCTTTCTTTGCTGATAGTTATAGAAAGCATTTATTTGATACGGGTGGAAAAATAAAAGCATTATCTAGTAGCAGTCTTTAACATGCACTTACTACATACAAAACAGTGTTTTGTTTTGTGTGTTGGTTTGTGTGTGTGGTTTAGTATCAGCCATGCATAGGTATTTCCAAAATGTGTGTCTGAGGGCCTAATTACATTAAATTAATGTGTGTTTTTAAAAATTAAATAACGTGCAAGAGTGTAGGATTGTTAGAAGATCACAGTTCATAGGAAGGGGAGGGTTAAGCCTTCATACCCCAGCCACAACCTCTCTGAAATCACACGCACACACATACAGCAGTAGCATTAGAAAACAAGCTCCTGTTGCTAGGGAGGGATATATTGTAGCTGGGAATCATGGGAGTAATTATCCCACCCTCTGGTATTTAATTCTTAAAATCATGTTAATATGCTTACTGAGACCTTGAGTCCTTACCATGCTGAAAGGGGAGCTCAAGTAGGCACTCACATGCACATCACATAACAATAAAAAACTACCACAGCTCATAACATGTTAAATACATGCCCCAGGTTATCCCAAGAGTGCTCTTAAATTAGTGAATAATAGAATTCAGAACTGTTAATCTAAATCTGCATTCCATCTGAAGTTCTCCTTTTCAGTATAGAAAGGATATTGTATTTTAGGCGTTGACAAAACTCAGCAGAAAAGCACAAATGAGGCCATCTCCCAAACCCCGATTTATCTGGAATGAGCTGCCTTGGGTACTCAAAACAAAAGAGGAAACACTGGGTGCGCCATCTTGGATTCTTTTGGGTACATGCAGCAGTTGTTCTGCATATCCTTAGAAGAATTAAAGACAGCGATGCTCATGTCGCTCGTTTTAGCAAAGACCTCCCCAACTGGTCTTGCTGACCTGTAATCTGTAAAACAGGATATGCTGGAGATTTGGAGATGGTTATAATTTGACTCTGTTATCTTTTATCGTAATAAGCTGCTAGTGTGTGAGGGAGTGGGGAGTGTTCTCCAAAAGAGCCCTTTATGATATATTTATTTTCAAGGATGGGACTTTACAGAATATAGTACGGCATTTTTATATGTTCATTTTTACTATTATTACTTTTTCAAAAGACTAGAGAAACAAAACGACTTAAGAAAGCCCACTACTATATTCCCTTGCAAAAATTAGCATTCCAAAGCTCAGCTGCACCACCCAAATTATTTTCCATTTGCTTCAGTAAAAATAAGTAGTGATCACATTGGGTGTTTCTATTTTCTGCAGGCCCTATCAGTGTGGACACTGCTCCCAATCCTTCTCCCAACCTTCAGAGCTACGGAACCACGTAGTCACCCATTCCAGTGACAGACCTTTCAAGTGTGGCTATTGCGGTCGTGCCTTTGCTGGTGCTACTACACTCAACAATCATATCCGGACACATACAGGGGAGAAGCCCTTTAAGTAAGTAATCAAAGGACCAGAGGAACAGGAAGGGAATTTAGACAAGAATCAGTAAATATCCTAGCCCTTGGAATAGGTCTGTTTGGAATTGAAGTTCAGAATACCCCCACAGTCCTCCAGGCACTGCTCTTGAGCAAGACCAAGTCATTTCAATAGCATTTGTGCAGAATCAGATCTTTGTTGGTTGCAACCAACCCATTTAATGTTTCCTTAAAATCGTAAGATCATGCTCATATATATAGTGAATGTATGCCAAATATCTGTAAGCAGTTCACTAGGGACAGCTTGTTGTTAATGGGAAAGCAGTTTTCAATAGCAGCCCTTCCAGTGATTTTATCTGAAAGTATCAAAGGAAGGCTTTATCTGAAATTTCAAGCGTAGGGCGTCCAGATTGTTGAACATCAAAAGTAGGGAGAAGCCAAGACAACAGTTGTCGTGCATGTGCTGTTTACAAAGAGAAATATTTCTGATAGAGAAGATGTGGCGTGGGCAAAAAGCCATCATTTTACATTGTTGTAATAAGCAAAATTTGTGAGTGCTGGATAAGGACCAATAAACTGAAATTGAATCATAACAAGATTGTGGCACCGGGGACGGATGGTTCTTGGATGTAGGAAGTGCATGTTTTAGGCAGGGTTGTGTTCTTTCTAAAAGAGCACATGTGCAGTTTCTAGATGCTTATATTGTCTCTAGAGACCAGGTAGCCTCAATGGAATGAAATGCCTTTTATCAGCTTTGCTTCATTCACCAGTGAACGAAGGGATAGTCTGGCCATGGTAATCTATGCTCTGGTAACCTCATTAGATTATTGCAATGTGTTTTATATTCTGCTGCTCTTGAAGATGACTTAGAAGTATGAAATGATGTAGAAGGCAGCCTCAAAATTCTTGATTATGTCACATCGTGCCAATTTTATAAGGACTTCAATGGCTTCCTATTTGCTTCCATGCCTAATTTAAATTGCTGATATTTACCTTTAAAACCCTAAATGGCTTGGAACCCAAATACCAAAAGGAGTGCCTTTCCCATAACCATCTGTCCATGCGGTAAGATCTTCTTGCAGAGACCCTCTATCACAGGCATGGCCAAACTTGGCCCTCCAGCTGTTTTGGGACTACAATTACCACCATCCCTAGATAACAGGACCAGTGGTCAGGGGTGATGGGAATTGTAGTCCAAAAACAGCTGAAGGGCCAAGTTTGGCCATGCCTGCTCTATCAGAATCAAGTTAATTAACAGCAAAAGGGCAGGCTTTCTTGGCAATAGCTATGGAGTGTCTGCCTTAAAGATGCTCTCCTAGCGCCTACATTGCAGTTCTTTTGGCACCAGGTGAAAATATTCTTATTCACCCAGGCATTTCAATCTATAGTTAATTTTAATTATTATTTTTTAACTACTGTATTTGTGCTGTGATATAATTGGCTGTACACTGCCCTGGAATCCTAAATAGGACAAAGGGCAGTAGGTGAATGTTTTAAAGAAATAAACATAAGGACCCTGGGCAAGAAACTAGTGGCCAGGTATTAGTAAGTCTCTGCAGAGAAGTCAAGACCAACAGAAAGAAGAAAGTGAACCTATCCCACTTTCAAAGTCTAGACCTCTACACTTGATCCTTAAATCCCATTTTCTACTGCACAGTCTTAGTGGGCAATGTGGAATTCCATTCTAAATTATAAGTGGTTTGACATTATAGTTGCCTTGCAAGATTTGGTGATGGAATCTTTAATGCACTTTTCAGGCTAATATGAGGATGTAAACAAGGCAGTTTATTACCTATATTTTAAACTAGTTCAGGTAAATCAGGTAATTTTAAAAGATCACCAGTTTTCTAAACCCATGTGACCACAAGTTAGTATCATATTCTGTTCCTGTTTTTTGGGGGGGGGCATGTAGAGCAAAGAAGTCACTTAAACAGGTTTATGTTAGATAACAGCATTAGATCACTTCAAAGCCCTTATTTTTGCAGTAGAAGTCAGGTTCAGGATCTGGCTTCAGACCCCACTTCTAGAATGGGCATGCTGTATTGCTTTGGGTAAAAAATTATCTGTGGTGCTCAAGTCCCAGTCTATAAAATACTAGTGGTTTTACCCCCTGTAGACACACAAGGTTGCAGAAGAACAAAACACCATAAATCCAGTAATAATAGTTGCAGATTATAAGAATATAAATGTCTGGCAGCTGTCAAACTCTGTCCCATGTTTAAAAAAGATAAAAGTCTAACCTTAAACACTGCATATGCACCCCAATCCTATGCAAAATGATTTTCATTTAAGTAAAGCTAATTTGAGCTTTTTAAAAAAAATCTTATTTCTCTGCTGTGGTTGGGGCACAGGAAGAGGCCATTAAAAATGGTGTGTTCCATAACAATCATCAACTTCTTACTGAACTTGATTTTATTTACCAGGCATTTTATATTTGGCTAATGTAAGAGGATATCTGTCACTGTGAAGTATCAGAGACCTTATGAACGAGTTGTTTATGCAAGAGATAATCACAATGGTTGCCTAGCCTCCATTCAAGACGTGTCTGGGCACCATGCTTGTAAGTGTAAGATAAGGCGTGGAGGTGGGGAGGAAGAGCCCAAACTTTGCAAAGACCAGCACAGTCAGAATTCAAATAGGGACTGCCTGAAATGATACAGTTCTACTGTGTCCACTAATGGTGCCCACGGAGCCATTATGCTGGATTAAGAGAGCCAATGGAAAGCAGAGCCAAAACCAGTGCCAGCAATCAGATTGATTTTATGTAGTTGCTGTGTAAATAGATTTTAGTAATTAATTGTGGAGGTTTCCGGGTCAAAATGGAAAATAGATTTCTTTTAATGTTAAGGTGTTACTTATGTGTAACCTTGTTGACTCCACTTTCATTCCCCCCTTAACATCCTGTTTTTGTCGTGTTTCCAATAAAGCTGCAGTTTGCCCCATTTAGAGGCATTACTACTCCCCCCCTCTTTTTCGTATTGTTCTTTTTCTTTCTTCTTTTGTCTCTTGTTCCAAAACGTCTAGTGTAGTTTCAACACAATTCCATTCAGAAAATAGAGCTATATCAAATGGTTGGCATGTTAGCTGCATATGAATCAAATTGATTTTGGTGTGATCTATGCACATTCACTGAATATATAGGATTATTACCTATAGCATAGAATTGTCCGATACTTAATGTCTGTAATGTAGCTTGTGCAAATACAGTGGTACCTTGGTTTACGAACTTAAGTCCATTCTTAAACCAAAGAGTTCTTAAACCAAGGTGTGCTTTCCCATAGCAGCGGGGGACTCAATTTACAAATGGAACACATTCAACAGGAAGCAGAACATGTTCTGCTTGCAAGGCAAAGTTCACAAACCAAAGCACCTACTTCCGGGTTTGCAGAGTTCTTAATCCAAGTTGTTCATAAACTAAGGTGTTCTTAAACCAAGGTACCACTATAAGAAGCAATTGCTAAGGATTGAAATATAAACTATGGTTATAATAGGGAATTTAGAATAGTTTGGTGTGAGACAAAGATTTAGAGTAAACCAGTGAACAGTGAATTTGTTTTATGAGAAATGTGGGATTTGTTTTAATACAGGTGTGAACCATGCATAGATAGGAGTGTGTATTTCATAAGATCATACACTGTGTTACAGAACAATCCTAACTCTCTACTGGGGAGCAGCAGCAGAACAGAGTGGCAGAGTCACCACTGCCTTTGAAGTCCTGCAGCTTATGGCAGCCAGGGCACAGAAGGGCATGCAGTTACTTTGAGTAGCTTCAGAATAGTGAGGCATGGGGGCCCAAATTAGGCCCCTCACCTGGCAGTGGGCTGGCTTTGGATCATATACTGTTTGCAGGGGTTATTCTGGTCACTGCCTGGGGGAACTCTGCCAGCGGTGTCTTTTACAGTCACAGTGGGGGCCTCCACAACTCATTTTATCCTAATTTTAGCTTTAATATAATCACAACAGCCCATTACTATCCCTTCTCCAAAGTGACACCAACCCAAGATATATGCAGTGACATTTGTGTTTCCCTACATATGAAAGAAAAACAGAATGTTTCTATTGCCTGCAAGACTATAGGGCAGACCAGAAGGGCAGCGTGGGCGCTTATATGGTCCGTGTATCATTGTAACTTATTTCCCTGGGTACCACTTCTTCAATAAGTTCTGAAATGTCTGACTAGCAATAGAGGAAGCTCTTTTATGGGCATCCCCTTAACTCTGATCTGTATGTTACGAGTATTTAATGGAAGCTTCTTGAAACACTTTTGTCATAACTCATAGACAAGCCCTTTCTCATTACCATCCATTTTTTGGTGGCTCAGGGGTCCCTATGATGTAAGCAGATTAAGTCATAATACTACTCTGTCTGTTAAGGCAGTGATGGCTAGGTACTTCTTGGATTTGAAATATATGTTTAGGATGCACAAGTGGAATGTATTGGACATCTTTAGCTATATATGTAGGGAAAGGAAATTTCAACTCCAAGGATAGCTCAGTGCCTTATATTGTATAAGCTAATCCAAGAATTGAATTGATTTCAAGGCCTTCATGATAAAAAAAATCATAATTTGCAAGTTTGTCAAGCAATGAAAGGTAGTATATTTTGACACACTAATCCAGTAACTAATCAGTTTTCTAATAAACAATCAGCAATACACTAATGTGTCATCAGCATTTCAGGAACTCTGGAGAGAGGAAGATCTGCACATAGACGTTAATGAATACACCAAAAATCATTAGGTGATCAATACTTCTGAGTTATTTTCATTGAGCTGATAGGTCTGATACATTAGAGCTGACATTTTACATTTGTCAAGATCACAGTGCAGTTTTTAACAGTAGAGCAGGCTGCTAAAATATTCCAAGAGAGACGATCAAAGAAACACAACTTAAAGATGTTGACATCCTAGGCAAGAACTAGAGGTGAGATGAATGAGTATGTAACATTCAGGTCAGAGGTTCCTCAAACCATAATTTCCCTTAAAAATAATTAACAGGCACTTTATAACATTCTGTAATTGTGTATGCATGTTTGTGAAGGGTTGTTCCTTTCCAATGCAATGATTACAGTTGAAGAAGCAGGGGTACAGAGAGGGTTAGAACCTCTTATTTTTCATAGGCATACTTTTTTCATAGGAATCTTCTCAGATGTTAATAGGCATTACACAGCACCATTTAAAATCCAGATTATTCCTATGAGCATTACATTAAAGCTCTGCATAGCCTGCAAGACTCTTCTTTGCAACGGAACCTTTGCAAGATGGGGGTGGGGTACTCTTGTTCAGCTTTTACTCATTTCAGTGGGCCCCATCCAGGGCATATTTCCTGTCACTTCCCTGGCTGACTTATATCCTATAAACTTGTCAGGCATCAGTGTCACGCATTCAAAGTGATTATGAAGAAGTCACCTTCTGTTAAAGCACTAGAATTTGGTAGAGTACATTCTTATCTGGAATAGGCGCAGATTACACTCTCTGAACTACACACGCCCTGTGTCAGTCCCTGCAGAAGCCCTACATCTTAATGCATTCATTATCTTGCCATGTCATTTAAATCAATGGAGGGAAGGAGGGGTAGAGAGAAGTCTTTATATGACAATGAAAATGCACTGGCGAGTGTTTGACTTTTCCAATCAGCCATTTCTACTCAATATCAAATCCTGGGTAACATTTTTTTTAAAAAATGCTTAAAACTATTACGAGTAGTAACTACAGCCTCCTTAACTCAACTGCTTAGTGATCTCAGGCAAGTATGGGGATTTATTCTGTTGCTGCAAAACAAAGTGATCATTGTTCCATGGCTTCACAATTGCTCCAGTAGGTAGGACTCCTGATTTTAAATTAGCAGGAGGTGAAATTCTATTTGTCATCAATTTCTCCGAGGGATTACAGAGCAGAAAACTGCAGACAAGCTGCTTCTTTGATGGCTCACTCCTAAAAATCTCTTTTTGTTCTTTATCTATTTGAACTGACAGTGATCAGAGCTGCAGCAGGACAGGCCTCTCTGGAGAAATCACCTTCCCCCTGTCTATTGACAGATTCCTCTGTTCTGAATCAGACAGGCCTTGTCCCATCATAGGCATCAAGGCCTTGGAAGTAGCCACCAATTAAACCTCTTGAGCCAGTAAAATCTGAAGCCACTTTTGAGTGTCTGTTCTGATTAGGCAGGATAAGACGAAGCCCGCTGCCTGCTCCCCCTTCCCCCAGAGCAGCTCCCCACTCTCAATTTTCTCTCTTGCCTTCTCCAGGTGCGAGAGGTGTGAGAGGAGCTTCACACAAGCCACCCAGCTGAGTCGACACCAGAGGATGCCCAATGAGTGCAAGCCAATAACAGAGAGCACAGAATCAATTGAAGTGGATTAACTGATTGACTGGTTGGAATTAAACTGCAAGGAAAGTCATGATTAAATGTCACGGACACTTAAGCAAAACCAAAGATTTCCTCTGAGCAACTTTCAATCAGTCCCAGAAAACCAAGAGCAGTAATAAAATAAGTAAGATGTTAAGAGATATTGATCCTGGCGTGGAAGTGAAACCAGGAAAGAGATTATTTATTTATGACTAGGAATGAGACTGATTTCCATGGACAAGGAACCCGGGCCTGCTAGCATCCTAGCCTCCCACCCCACCATGTATTGCTTTATTTCTAAAAAGCTTTTATAATTGTTATTTAATACCAAAGCAACAAAGATCAAGGGTTCTTCAGCCTATAGCTGTGGCTATGAATGCACACGGACTTGTTTATGATTGCACCTTTTCCTCTAGCATGACTCAGTGGACCTAGAGGTATCTTGTTTCCTTGGTCCCATTGGGTTGCATTGCTCTTGACTTGGCTGTTATTTTTATTTTTTAAAAAGTGGTCTCTGAATGACAAGAGAATGAAGACGATCCGGAACCATCTTTGCGTTGGTGTCAGAACTCCTCCAACTAATGGACATTTTCATTCCCATGGTTTCAGAACTCACATTTTGTGCACTTTTTTTGTATAAATGTTTTCATTAGCCAGTGTTGCATTGGCCCAGGAGATCCCAGAAATGTTAAATAAACTTGGTCCTATATATATATATATAGATATATCTGTAGATGTATATGCTGTTAAAACAAAACAAAACCCTCCGATGCTGTAAGGAAAGCATTTGAAATATGTAGAATTTTCAAATACTATACCTCTTTTATGAACGTCATATTATTCACAGGTTGTGAACAGTTTCAGTGAAACATTAACACTCTTATCTAAAGGTATCATGCTTGAAAGCATAAATGTTAAAATGGAATAGCAAGAGAAGCAGTCTTCAGTTTGATTGTAAAAGTTAGAAACCTTTAAAAAGAAAATGAAAAATCAACAGAAATCATCCAGGTTTAAAATTTTCAAAAACATCCAGGCATTCACACAACATAGAAGAAACTTCACATAATAGGGGTACGTCACATGAGTAACTCTGTTCCTATTTCATAATGTGCAATATCCTTTAATACAGGCAAACTAGATAGTTGTTACGGGCTATATAGCAATAATATAGTTCCTGATTTTGCTAAAATGAACTCAGTAATTTGATTCCCCTCTCCCCCCAATTATCTCCCAACCCACACACTGGGCCTAGGAGCCTAAGCACTGTACTGATCAAAGACTCACCAGATCTAATGTATACACAGCGCTTTCAAGTAATTTCCTAGTTTTCTGCAATGCAGAGCACAACTCCAAGCCCCTTGGGGGTGTTGCAGCAGTGATGTGCAGCCAATTCTATGCATATTTACTCAAAATAAAGTTTGTGCTCACTGGGGCTTGCTTCTGGGTAAGCATGCATAGGATTGCAACTTTTAGGTATGCCAATTTTCAGTTGACAATGAAACAGGACGTGTGGCGACACCAGTGAAATAGAATAAAATACACACTCTGAAATTAAAGTTGGAGGTAGTATTTTAAGCACCAGTTCCTCCTATATTTCTTCCTTGTCCTGGGTTTCTGTGTCTTTAGGACTAGTACAATATTAAAGCTTTGATCTGCAATGCTGACTTATAAAAAACAACAACTTGTAAAAACCACCTGGTGTCCTTATGGGCTACTTCTTAATTTTTTTACCTTTACCTTCTTAATGAACCTTAAAGTGACATTGGGCAGGACTCTGAGTCCCGTCAGCGGAAGCAAGGATTGTGCAAGGATTACTCTTCTGCAATGGGGCTTCTTCCCTCTCTCCTCCCCCCCCTCGTGACCCCCAACATTGAGATAGAGGAATTCTAATATCTAATTGAAATAAAATTGGTTGAAAACCAAGCACTTAAGACAGAATTCAATGTAGTGCTAAGGAGATTGCTCCATCAACACAAGCATTTCTGCTTGTCTGTGGGAACAATCTCTGCTCTCCCTTCCACATGCTGTTCTGGTGGTTCTTCTGATTCCCCCCCCCAGCCAATTGGGGGGCATCTATGGGGACAGGAGCGGAGGGAATCCCCACTTTGTTATTGGATGTTCTTCCATGGGTTTCCGATTAGTTGAATGCAACCCTTTGAGCTTTTTAACGGCTTTGTGGAGGGTGACCTTGGTGCTTCAGCAAAAGCCCCCCCATCCACTCCAGCTGCATCACCTTCACTTGAGGATAAGGCAACTTGATAGTTTGTTGTAAAGCCTCTCAGTGGCTATTCGGTACAAACCAATTATGACACAAGTCATTGGGACTGTGTTGGGTTAAATCCTATCTCGCTGGCATAAGTAGTCTGTGCATTGGGTAGTTTGTGCCATTTTTGCCTTTGGAAAACCTACCTCATTACTTCACTATTGGAAACTGATTGTAGCATTCATAGAACCATTCAAGCTGATGTACTTTTTGACTAGGCACCTATGGGCCATTAAATGCGTGGGATGACACAGTCAAAACCCTTTTATTTCTTCATCATTTCTGTCTCTATGAAATGCACTTGAAGCAGTATACAGAAACATAAATATTCTAATAACAAGAATAATTTAGGGCAGAGGCCATAACTGAGTGGTAGAGCATTTGCTTTGCATTCAGAAGGTTCTAGGTTCAACCCCTGACATCTCTAGGTAGGTCAAACTGAGAAGGTCCTTCATCTGAAACCCTGGAGAGCTGCCCCCAAGACAGTCTCAACAATGCTGAGCTAGATGAAGCAATAAAGGTTAAAAAAAAGGTAAAGGACCCCTGGACAGTTAAGTCCAGTCAAAGGCTACTATGGGGTGCGGCGCTCATCTTACTTTCAGGCCGTGGGAGCCGGCATTTGTCCACAGACAGCTTTCTGGGTCTTGTGGCCAGCATGACTAAACCGCTTCTGGCACAACGGAACACCGTGACAGAAACCAGAGCACACAGAAACGCTGTTTACCTTCCCGCCACCTATTTATCTACTTGCACTGGTGTCCTTTCGAACTGCTAGGTAGGCAGGAGCTGGGACAGAGCAACAAGAGCTCACCCCGTTGTGCGGATTCGAACCGCCAACCTTCTGATCGGCAAGCACCTCCCGCATCCCAGCAGATGAACCAATATGCTGACTCAGTATCATGCATCATTCTTATGTTCCTATGTTATAAAATGCCACTGCTAAAATAATAACGCAGTAACAAAATGTAAGCATGAAACAGCAAAAGGAGTTTTACGGTTAGGCTCTGCCTGCAGCGAAAGAAGTACAAAGTCTGATGACTGATCTGACTCTCCTCTTGTGGTCTTGGTCACTGCGGGCCCAAAGGACCTTGCTCAATCCTACACATTTTGAGAATGCGAGGGAAACTGCCCAATGCCTGGTTTTGCTATATTAAGGCCAGTCTATAGTATATAGACTCTCACTTCAGAACAGAGAGGAAAAGAAAGCCTCACACAGTTAAATTGGCTGATTCCCAGGTAAGTGTCTTGCATCCAAAGTGGACCTTAGAAAAGTCTTGAGAGAGAGCTTGCATGAAGCGTTGCACAAACAGGTAAACTCTGGGGTTGAGATCACTTTTCTCCAACAGCGGTCTTCTGCTAATTTAAGGACACCTTTGGATCCAAGCCCAGGTAAAGCAAGTTAAATGCATGCGTGGAAGGAAACAAACCAAAGCGGTATGCTTTGGTACATTCCCTCCCCCTTTTAAATATATGAATATTTATTCAATTTTATAACAAATAATGATACAAATCTCATTCATCATGTTATATACAATTATTCTCCCTCCTCTCCTCTGGACTTCCCTCAACTCCCCCTCTGCTGAGTTAGTTAGTTTTATTTATTGTATCCTGCTTTTCCTACACAAAAATAAAATCCCTTATCATTTCTCTAAAATATCTGTTACTCTAATGAAATTGTGAATGTTTATTCAAATCCTGCCAGTGAATCCAGTCCATTCTGTTGTTTCTGTGGTGCATTTCCCCCTAAACAGTTGTTTAAAGTTAAATCCTGTTGATTTCAATGAAACTGGTATTGGAAGGGAAGGAAGGAAGGAATCCACATTCCTTTATGGAAGTTGTTTGCTGTATGAATGACAGCAGTGTAAATCAAACTCACTTATTAACACTGCTGCTTGAATTGTTCCATGTTACCTAAAATTCGGCAGATGTTAGGGGAACTTCCTGTTAATAAATAAATAAATAAATAAATGGAATGTTGCAGCACCGGAGACACAAGACAAAGAATTCAAAATAACTGGCATTTAAGAAATGCGATTGATTAACTAAACGGATAAAATCAACTGATATTCTAGTGGTTCTGCTTTGCTGATATGCCTCAAAAGTAGCCTTCTGGTTCACATCTGGTGGAGTAAGATTCAGTTAACTATTTAGTCATCTTTTGTTTGTGGAATGGGGAGAGGTGCCATCTTGTCCACTTCAAGCAGCAAAAATTAATGGGTCCTGCCAATCAGCTGGAGTAACAGAAGGTAAGGAAGCTATGATTTCCTCCAGATCAGCTTGGTTCATGTTGCAGTTTGAAGGCACAAGTAAATGGGCAACTCTCTGCACTGCCAATTTATTCCTATGATGTTAAACCATATGCAGGTGGATCATGCAATAAAAGTATCTAAACAGTTTCTGTATTTTAACAATGTTCCTCAATGGGGAATTACCATAATGTGCCCTGTAGGGTTTAAAGCAAGGGTCAGCAAACTTTTTCAGCAGGGGGCCGGTCCACTGTCCCTCAGACCTTGTAGGGGGCTATATTTGGGTTGGGAGGGGAATGAACGAATTCCTATGCCCCACAAATACCCAGAGATGCATTTTAAATAAAAGGACACATTCTACTCATGTAAAAACACGCTGATTCCTGGACTGTCCGTGGGCCGGATTGAGAAGGTGATTGGACCGGATCCGGCCCCCGGGCCTTAGTTTGCCTACCCATGGTTTAAAGTGAACTGAATGTATGAGTGCCTGGCGTGCTCTGGTCCATGGGATCACAAAGAGTCGGACACGACTAAACGACTAAACAACAAACAACAAAATGTACTTCTGAACCCATTAATACCAACTCACTAATGTGTCCTACAAGATGGGGGAAACTCTCCGTGATACAGGTCTCCCCAACAACATTAGTTGAAGCTATTACATATGATGCCATGGAACTTCTCACATTACTAGGAGAATTGGCCTCCCTAAATTTCCCAGCAATCCAGGAATGAGTTAAGAAATATAGTAAACCAAGTTAAGAAATATAATTTTAAAAAGAGTCAATTATATGATATATAATTTTTCAAGTGTTTGTGTGTGTATTTATATCATGAAGGGGGAATGACAGTATCTCCATTTTGATAACAGCACTACTTGTTTTGGGGAGATTTTTTTTTTTTTACAAATGCATTAAAAGCAACTGCTTGTCACTTAATAGCCACGTGCCCTTCATATCTTATCATAGTACTTGACAGTACATAGTACAGTTACTGAGGAAGTCGGTTTCTGTTTTTTCATTCATTGTGGCAGCACTTTTAAGTTTGGATTTTGGAGGGGAAAGCTCATTAAAGATCTGCAACAACTTTAATTTTCAGAACCCTGGCCATTTTTCTGCATGAGGCGAGATGCAATCACATCCCATTAAAATGTGCTGTGCGGGATCCTGAAGCTTGTATATAGAGCTCAGAATCAAGACTCTCGGTGCCCTTATTCACAGAAGCACCTCCTGCACTAACTCTGTGGCAAAGGAGGCTTGGAGTATTTTTACGGCTAAGGCTGGGGAGGGCGGGATATAAATAAAATTTATTATTATTATTATTATTTTTAGAGGGTAAGGAGAAGACACATAGCTGCCACTACCCTTTTGCAACCTCATTTAATGAGATGGGTCAGCGGCTTCTACCTCTGGTGCTGCAACATGTAGTATTCAATTAAGCTCCACTGCACACTTTGTCATCATGCAGTGGCATCTCCATCCCAGCACTAGCCCCCTTGTTGGCATGGCGACGATGATGAGATCTTACATCCAAAAAATAATCCAGCTGAGGTGCTCACCAGTGTGCTAGCGCTAGATTCATAGACTACAGTGGTACCTTAGTTCTCAAACTTAATCTGTTCCGGAAGCCCATTCCAAAACCAAAGTGTTCCAAAACCAAGGCACGCTTTCCCATAGAAAGTAATGCAAAATGGATTAATCCGTTCCAGACTTTTAAAAACAACCCCTAAAATAGCAATTTAACATGAATTTTACTATCTGAGGCCACTGATCCATAAAATGAATGCATTAATCAATGAACTGTACTATAAAATAAATGAGACAGTATAAAAATAAAAATATTTTCCCCCCTTACCCTCACTGATGCTAGTCATTGTTTGGATGGGGGGCTTTTATCCATTTCCATAGTCACACAATCAATCAATCAATCAGTAGCTGAACTGGGTTCCACACAGCCACAAAAACAAATGAACCAAAAAAGCCTCAAAAACGCAAAATAAAGGGCAAAATTGATGCCAAAGAATTGATGCTTTTGAATTATGGTGCTGGAGAAGACTCTTGAGAGTCCCATGGACTGCAAGAAGATCAAACGCATCCATTCTTAAGGAAATCAGCCCTGAGTGCTCACTGGAAGGACAGATCGTGAAGCTGAGGCTCCAGTACTTTGGCCACCTCATGAGAAGA